TTGCAGGGAACCGAAACAAACCAGAGCTCCATCCTTTTCCCTAAGCCTGCAGGCGGGCAGTCTCTTTTCTCCCTGAACTACATTTCCCATCGTGCCCTTAAGCTCCTTCCTGCCGCCTCTTCTCCCGCCTCTTCCTGCCGGGGGGGGGGAAGAGGCTCCTGATTGGCCGACACCGTCGAAGCGGGCCAGAGGCGGCTGCAGGCGGGAGATGCGGCCGCTAAACTGAAGGGGACCCCGCGTCGCCTCAGGGTGCTGAAGCCCCGCCCACTCAGCCCCCCCTTTCCTTACCCAGCCCCCCCCATTTATGGGAAAGGGGGGCTCCCTTTCCCCCCCCCCGTCTCCTTCCCCTTGCCAGGCTGAAGGGGGGGGCTCTATTCAAGCCCCCTTTGTACTTAAGGGGGTCTCCAATTACAATTGGGGGACCCCTCCCCTTTTTTTCCACAGCCCCCCCCTTCCAGGCTGATCCCCCCCGGGGCGTCTCCCCCATTTTATATCCCTTTCCTCCCCCCCCCCCCCAAAAAAAATTGAGGATTCCCCCCCCTTTTTTTATTTTAAACCCCCCCCCCCATCTCGCCTGGGTTGGAAATAATTAGCTTTTTATTTTCATAATTCCTGCCAATTAATTTGAATTCATGATTCCAACGCTTATTAAAGGATAACTGTATTTTTTTTTATAAGACGTTAAATCAGGGCTAATTGGAACTTTCCAGCTTTTTTTAATACATATTTTTTAATACATATTTTTTTTGGGGGGGGGAGCAGCTCCCCGAGATCAGTGTGAACTTTAAAGATCCCCTTCCCCGCTTTTTGAAATGCAACACTTCCCCTTAAAAGAAGGTCTTTTTGAATTATCTTTTAGATATTTTTGATTGGGGGGAGCTTGTACTGATTTATTTTGGGGTCCCCCAGTCTTTCTTTATAGGGACCCCCACTCTTTCTCTGGTCTCCAAATTTTCTTTTCAATGCATAATTTTTATGATGCAATTTAGTATACTGTTTAGTTTTCTTTTTTTCTTGCTCTGCTTAATTTGGGGGTGCTTCAATCATTTTGGAGGGGGGGCTTTTATAATGTGCATTTCATGCACTCATTTTTTTAAAAACTCTTTTATTCTTCATTCTTGCTTTGCAAAATTGGAGGTTGGGGGAGCACAGTTTGCTGTATTTTCTGATTTGAAGGGGAAGCTGAAATATTTGAGGGGTCCTGGGAATTATTTTGTCAGTTTCTGTTATCCTCTCGCTGTTTAATTTGTAAGAAAAACAACTTTTGAATAATACACTTATTTATATAATGAAAGGAGATTTTTCGGGGGATAGGACTGTATGTAATGCAGCTTGCTATAAAGTCTTTTTGTTTTTCCTTTGTAAATAAAAATATATTAAAAAAAACAACTCTGTATTTCAGTTCCTGCAACAGAATCCTCTGGGTCAGTTCCTCTGTGAAGTTGGACCATGGTGAATTTTTCTGAACTCTTTAAAGCCTCCAACCACTTGTGCAAATTTTCCCCGGATGGGAAATATGTGGTAAGCAGACGTTTGTGGGTTCAAATTGTGCAGTGTTGATTTGGTTGTGTGCCTTTTTTTTGCTCGGGGAATCCTTATGCTCCTCTTTCTGCCAATTCATGCTGGGGTGTGCGTTTGGTTGAGGCGTTGCATTCAATCCTGGTTTTCTTAATGCTGCTTTGTTGGCCTTGCTGTGGTTTGTGCAATAAGGCTAAGTAAAATAATAATAATAATCGTAATTTATGCAGGACCGTACAATGCCCATCATTTCTTGGGGTCAGCCTTGCAAGTTGAGACTGGATGGAGCAAAATACTGAACACCTTGAGAGTTAATGATAGAAATATCTGGGATTTTTAAAGATACGTCGGGAATCTCTCTTTTACAGTAATTCATGATTAAGCTGTATTTAAAATTATACTTTTCAGGCTTCTGGGGTACAATACCGGTTGGTGATCCGAGATGTCAGCACTCTTCAAATTTTGCAACTGTTTACCTGCCTGGATCAAATACAGCACATTGAATGGTCTTCCGATTCTCTATTTATCTTTTGTGCCATGTATAAACGTGGCATTGTCCAGGTGCGTATCTCGGGTTTTGCAATATATCTTGTCCCTCATCTATCTACATAAAAAGCGAAATGCCACTCATGCATCATCACAGAATCTCCAGAACCGCAAAGTCTACAAACTTGAAATCTATTCTTTTTGGTTCTAGAGGCTCACTAAGAAAGGATTATTTTCCGAAATGACCATCAGAGCATTTAGAGTATTTCCATTATTATTATTATTATTATTATTATTATTATTATTATTATTATTATTATTATTATTATTATTATTATTATTATTATTATTATGCTAAGGAATTCTACTCCCACTCCCCACCTGAAGAAAAGAAATCTGTTCCAAAAGGCAAAACACAAGCAGAGGAGAGGAGTTTCAGTTTTACTTTCACAGCAGCAAGCACCTTTAGTACAGAACAGTTGAGCTAAGCCACGCCCAGGCTCCTTGCTGTCTCCTTGCTCACACAGCAAATACTCTTTCAGTTTCCAAACAGCCCTCAACTCTCTCACACACCGACAGGTCGCTAGCCAGGTGAATACTGATGGAAGCTGGTAGGCAGAGGCAGAATGTTTTTCTCCCCTTAGTTTCCTCCCTCAAAACTAAGCCCGACCACATAGCTTCGTAGCAAAGCACGGGCATTGAGCTAGTGTTAAAAATAATAAAAATAAAGCTTGCCTTGGGAAGCAGAACCGAAAGGGTGTGCATGTGTGTGTGTGGGTAAAACAATGGCTTAAACAACTGGTGGGAAAAATCAAATTTTTGGAGTCGATTTCAAGGAGAAAAGGGAGGTGGGGCCCTCTCGTGGAAAGAGAAGGGACGGATTGCTTTTAAAAAAAAAATTAGAAAAAGTCTCACATTTTTGCAAATTTTGAAAAAGCAAGGGTGTCTTTTCCATGGGAAGATGGCTGGCTGGAAAGGCATTCAGCGATTCTGCCCAAGGATTCTGCCTAATCCTCGACTTAACGCCAGTTCATTTAGGGACCGAGGTTACAACGGCACTGAAAAAAAGCGAATTATGAGCATTTTTTCCCACTTAACCATCGTAACATCCCCCCGTGATCAAAACTCAGATGGCTGGCAACTGACTCGCATTTATGACAAGTCGCAGTGTCCCTGGAGTGTGTGTGTATGTGTGTGTGTGTGTGAGACGATCCCCTTTTGCAACTTTCGGACGAGCAAAGTCAAAGGGAGGAAATCAGATTCACTTAACGACCGTGGGACTTGTTTAAGAACAGCAGCTTAAAAAACGTGGCAGGAAGGATCGTAAAACGGGGACCAAACTCATTTCTCACCTAGCAACGTCAATATTGGGCTCAACTCCCTGCATTACGGTTTAATAATAATAAAAGATATTAAACATTGTTATAATAATAAACATATATAAAAATAAAGGGGTGTTTCATAAAAAGAGAGGTTAAAAAAAAAGGCCAGGAAACTGTAGGAAAATCCACGCCGTCCTAAATTTTTCTGCTCTAAAGATAACAAACCTTTGCACAATATCTGTCAGCATCCAGTTGATCTAACATTTGGGGGGGGGGGGGGAGAAAGGCCCCCATCCTGCCTCTTTAAAAAAAAGCCCAAAATGCCTCTTTATTTATCACTAGTCCTTGACTTATGACCACAATTGGGACCGTCGCTATGTGAGCCTTTTGCAACCTTTTAACAGCGGTCATAAGGAAATTGGGTTTTGTCCATTTCTTTGCCAAAAGGGACCACGTGACATGCATGTAAACACGGTGCCAGTTGTCAATTCCTATCCTACAACTAGTTGCGGGCCATTTCCCCCCCCCCCCCCCAGCCCTGTCCTAACTCTGGGACGGCCACTAAACAAACCGTCGTAAGTTGAGGACCGATAGGGCTTTCTGCAAAAGAGAGAGAGAAAGAAAAGAAAAGAAAATGTACTTTTGTAGCGGGCTCCAGCAACAGTCCTTCATGATCGCGTTGGAAAACTGAAAATTGTACAATCCTAGGGGATCTCAGAGGTCGTCTAGTCCAACCCCCTCTCCAGGGCAGGGTTATTTAGACGCTGGATGTTTCGCGCGGCTGGCTTGGCTACCTTCTCTTCCCTTTTAGGTCTGGTCCTTGGAACAGCCCGAGTGGCACTGCAAAATCGACGAAGGCTCAGCCGGGCTGGTGGCCTCGTCCTGGAGTCCCGACGGGCGTCACATTCTGAACACCACCGAGTTCCACGTGAGTGGGTGAAAATGTGGGGTCTTCCCCTCCCTCCAAGAGCTCCCGACGCTCCCGTCCGCCTCTGAGCCCCCTAAAATAGCTTTGAAAAAAGAGAGAGAGAGAGAGAGAGAGAGGAACAGCTGGAGATCTAGGATTGGGAGGAGTTGTAGGAAAGCATTTCCCTAAAGTTAATTAAAGCAGCCAAATTTGGTCCTTCGGGAAGGGAGCATCTCTTCCCTGCTCCAAAGCGCCTTAAGATATGACCCGTCTTCATTCTAAATTGACAATATCGACAGCGTAGAAAGAAAATTTGTCCCAGATGTTTGATAGATGGCATTTATTGCCAGGAAAACTAGCAAGAATGTTCAAAGATAAAAGCAACTAAGTGTTGGAAGTGTCACCAAACACCGGGAACATATTATCCTATGTGGTGGACTTGTTATAGAAGCTAAAAGATATTGGACTAAAATACACACATGGTTGGGGGAAAAAATGATTAAACAACCTATAGATTTGAAGCCTGAAATATTTTTTTTTAATTAGGAATGGGGGACCTGAAGGTTACAGTAAAGAAGATATCCAGCTCAAGCAGGAAACCCTGTAGCATTTCAGACAAATGGTTGTGTAATCTCTTCTTAAAAGCCTCCAGTGATGGAGCGTTCACAACTTCTGGTGGCAGGCTGTTCCACTGGTCCATTGTCCTCATTTATCAGGAAATTCCTCCTTAATTCCAGGTTGTTTCTCTCCTGGATTCGTTTCCATCCATCGTTTCTTGTCCTGCCCTTCAAGTGCTTTGAAGAATAGCTTGACTCCCCCCGCCCCTTCTTTGGGGCAGCCCCCCCAAATATTGGAACCCGGCTATCCTGTTTGACCTTCCAGCCCCTTCAGTCCTCTCCATTGCTCTTCTCTGCCCTCTTTCCAGGGTCTTTGGAAGGGGTTGGGGGGGGGTGGCAGATAGGGACAGACGGGGAAATATTTCCTCTCGGGCTCGCCTCCAGCCAGCTGCCGTGGCCGCGTGGGTAGACTTACTTTGGGACCGTAAACAAGGGGACTATAATAATAACTTAGACCGACAGCTGGCTGGGATAACCCCGGGATTTGAACCGGTGGCTGACGGGCACCCTGGATCCATCATCCATCAGAGCTGCTGGGAGAGGATTAGGGTTTGCAGAGAAGCCCCTTACGTCTCTCGGGCATGCCACACACACACAAAAAAATGTATTGATTGGATGGCAGGTTGTCCTTGAATTACGGCCACCGTTCAAGTAAGGAAGTGTGTGAAGGGAGTTTGGTCCCCGGGTTACGACTTTCCTCGACCCTTTTCTTGAAGCGAAGCGTCGCCGTTCTTTAAATTAGCCCTCACACGTCGTTAAAAGCGAATTTAATTCCCCCTCGTCGCAAAAGGAGGATCGTGTGATGCCATCATAAATATGAATTCGTTGGCGGGCGTCCGAATTTGGACCATGTGACCCCCGGGGATGCCTCAGCCATCGTAAGTGTGAAAAAGGGGTTGTAAGTCACATTGTTCGGGGCCGTCGTAACTTTGAACAGTCGCTCTACGGACAGGTAGTCCTCAACTTACAATGGTGTGTTCAGTGACTGTTCAAACCCACGACGGCCTTGGAAAAAAAGAGGGCCTGTCGCTGTTTTTCAGACTTAACGACCGTCGCGGCTTCCCCGGCAGTCATGGGATTTACATCGGGATGCTTGACAACTGACTCACATTTACGACGGTGGCTGTGTCCCGATGTCACGTGATTTCCCTTTTTCACCACTTTCTGACAAGCAAAGTCAAGGGGGAAGCCCGCTTCGCTTTACGACCATGTGACTTAATTTAAACAACCGCTGTGACCCACTGAAGAAGAGTCGTGCAGTGGCCTAGAAGGGGAGCTCTCGCCTTACAATCAGGAGGCTGTGAGTTCGATCCTGGCTAGAGGCAGATATTTCTCTCTCTGGGCACAATGAGAATATATCTGCTGTGGGGGGAAAAACTCCACTCTGTCAACAGGAAGGGCATCTGGCCAGGAAAAACACTTCGCTCCATTCAGCTGCCCATTCTCCATCCCGATTATGGGGTCATTAAAAGGAGACGAATGAGCGATCCACTTAAGAAACGTGGTGAGGAAAGCCGTAAAACGGGGCAAAACTCACAAATTTCCTCACTGAACAACATATATTGGGGGCCGAAATGCAGTCGTAAGCTGAGCACAGTTGTGTGGCTTCCGTGGCATGTTTACAGCGGCCATTTTAACTCCTCTGGCACCCATGGACAGGCCAGCGGGGTCTGCAGTGAGAGGCCTGAAGTAAGCCATGGTGGTTTCTTATTGTGGTTTGCGGCTTAGTGGTTAGATGGAGCCACGTGGACGGAAAACAGAGGCACCTCCGTCTGGCTGGGAAGCCACGTGGGGTCTGTGGTGGCCTGACGGAGACATCAAATCTGCCCTCGAAGCTCCCAGATTCCAGCTTGGGTGAAAATTGATGTTTGCCACCAATCTGATCGGGGCTTGTCGTAACTTGCTGCCCTAAATCGCATTTAAAAGGCCTTTTATTTTCCTTTTTTTTTTTTTTTTTGCAAATGGTGTTTCGCATCCATTCAGGACCGTGAAAGAAGGAATTAACGCATTCGTTTTAGACTTTTCTTCAGATCCTCATCCTCCTCTTTTTGGGGAGCGAAGAAAGCCGGGATGTTTCCCAGATCGCCTCAGCCACAATAGTTGCGTAGCTGTCGTGCATTTTTCCGATGAATGCAAGATGGAGATAATAACTGCAAGCATCTTGGGGGGGGGGAAATGAAGGACAAACGTTTAAAAAGGGGCAAAGATGATAGAATAATAGGGCGGGAAGAGACTATCTATCTATATCTATCTATTTATATCTACCTACCTACCTATCATCTATCTATCTATATCTATCTATCATCTATCTATATCTATCTACCTATCTATCATCTATCTATCCCATGTATATCTACATATCTTCCTGTCTTCCTCCCTCCTTCCCTTTTGTCTTTTCGTCCTATCCATCCATCCAGCTATCTAGCTATCTATTTTCATCTATCCTATCTATATCTACATATCTGTCTATCTATATCCATTTATCTCCCACCTATCTCTCTTTCTCTGTCTGTCTA